CACACCTAGAATAATATAATTGTGAGTATGTGAAAAAGAAAAAAATCCTTTAAAAAGCTTAACTATACAATTTGTTTAACTTTGAATGCCACAAGGCATATGAAAAGAATTCCTATAGGAAAACAATTCCTTCTACTAGCAGCGATAAGATCATGACATTCATATTTATGAAATTGTTTGGTTATTTGACATATAATTTATAATTGATGGAAAAACTACACATTTTTTATGATTTCTCTGCATAACCTACATAGCTCATTTCCACATCTACAGGTATCAGATGACATTGGGAAAGAGACGTTGCTTGTGTCTTCTTAAAGTATACAAATCTCCTCTTGAAATGTAATGCAGAAACAGTATTATCATCACAGCACCTTCATTCATATCTTTACAACTTTCATATCAACTATTCATGTGGAGTCCATATGTCATCACAGCACCTTCACACCCATGAAGACCCGGGAGAGAATAGGTCTTCAGCAACCCATGCTTGCCGTTAAAGGCGACTAAGCTTGTCGTAAGAGGGGACTAACAGGATCAGGTTGTCAGGCTCGCTGACTTGGTTGATACATGTCTTCGTATCCCAATTGCTCATGATATCAATGCTCATGATATCAATTACAGGATTGTCTGGTCCAGACTCGATTATTTACAGACCGCCGTCGTGTAGCTGGAATATTGCTGAGTGCGGCATTAAACAACAAAGAAACAAACAAAGACACAAACAAAGCACCTTCATCCATATCTCTACAACTTTCATATCAACTATTCATGTGGAGTTCCATTTTGAAGACAATTATCACAATCACATTTAGACTAAAGTGTTTGTTGCCATTGAAACTATTTGAGGTCATAATGTTACTGGCCAACAAGCTTAATGATGAATGGTTCTTAAGAAACAAACTGAACTAGCTTATTTTTTCGTTGGTTTCAATATATTATTTCTTCTTAAAATTAATGGTCAATAGATCCATTCACTTAGTAAATGAAATAAAAGCCCACATAAACGAACTTGCGCTTAGTAAAGACATACATCAACAGGGTCATCTAGTCTTGATCAATGCAAAAACTCAATAAGTCCCTCAAATTAACCTCAAATTGTTTCATCATTGACCACTACAGTCTTTGACCCAAACTAATCCATTTAGTCTTCAGCACTTAACACTTGTAACTTTGTTTTTCATTGCATCATACATTCCTGAATAACTGTTTACTAAATTGAACCCCCATCCAATCAAAACCACCCACAACTAAAATATTGATGGATCATATTGTATTTCACATATACCTGGACAAGCTAATGCAAACGCTCCTGACAACCTATTATACTGAGTAACCTTATTGTCAATCTTTACAAAACTACTAACAAAATAAATTGTGTGGATTATTCTTTAAGAGTTGTCTATTTTCTGCCCCTATTATGTCGCTGTCAATATAATCAATCTAACATACGAGACATGGCATATGTACCCTGTCTGTATGACAACAAAATGGCTGTTGGAGGAGCGTACAGAACATTTTCACATGGCTGGCCTTCAAATAAACAAAAGCATAGTAAATTGCAATAGACCATCCAGTGCATGTAATTCCATTTGATACTTATTGTCATTGCTGAATATATATCATGAAATGGATGAGCGTCAATTTCATTCAAGTGTATGCAGTCTGTCATGACATAGGACAAAAATATTGATTAATGTAACAATTGAATACATCAATAATCGGATGATGATGCACTGTGTATCAATTTGTATATACAATCCGCTTTAATGCTTCGTGCACTTATTAACTTTTTTCAATTGTTTTTAGGCCTGATACTGTTACTTGCAGTGCAACTGAGACTGGCGTCACAACCACCATTTATGTTGTATATATCATGCATTCTGACTTGTAAATTGAAGCTTTCAAAATGTCGACAGCTGATCTATTTCATATTGAAAGAAATTGGTGACAGATATTCTTATTGAGTTATTTCAAATGTCTTAAGGGATAATATATTTCCATATTGCAGTGTAGGTTTACTATAATATTTACTTCACCTTTACAGTGTACAAATCAACTAGTAATTTGATTATTCAAAATTTTGTTAATGGTTTATCAATTTCACTTGGAAGGAAATTGACGACAAATACACTTATCTAATAGCATCAGTTGTCTTAATGGATGCTGTGTTTCACTTGATGTGTGGCACCTATGGTCTAGTGGATACAGCACCTGTCCAGAGAGCGTAACGTCAGTGGTTCGATACCCTGGCTGCACCATACCAAAAAGATGTTAAAAGATGGTGCTTGTTACCCTGCCTGACTTGCTATTGGAAGGATAAAACAAGGCTCTGAGTGGAGTAGCCATGTAAATATGCAACTTGGCATCGTAGTGGGCTAGCATTATAACACCACTATTAGTCCGAATCAGTTCAAGCATGCATGTGCATTGCTATCTGCGTGCAGTAATTTTGATCGCGATGTTAGACCCCATTTCACCTTGCCTCACCCACTTCCAGGTCAGTTGGCTTTGTAACAATGTGCAGGTTGACTTGTCTTTTCAAATATTACAAATGGATGATCTATTTCATTTGGAAAGTTGGTTTGTTGTTTAACGCCGCACTCAGCAATATTCCAGCTATATGACGGCGGTCTGTAAATAATCGAGTCTGGACCAGACAATCCAGTGCGTAATATCATGAGCTTCGATCCACGCAATTGGGATCGATGACATGCATCAACCAAGTCAGCGAGCCTGACCACCCGATCCCGTTTGTCGCCTTTTACGGCAAGTATGGGTTGCTGAAGACCTATTCTACCAAGGCGTCTTCACGGGCCTCCTTTGGAAAGAAGGGACCGAAAATTGTATGAAAATCGGAGATGACACCAGGTGTTCACAAAAAGGCTAAGCATGTCCTGCTCTACTGGTAGCACCCGTCACTCAAACAATTTGCATAAAAAGTTATGTTACTAAAGATATGTCATTTAGATAGACATTAGTACCAGAATTTGAAAATAGGTATTGTATTTTTATCGATTTCAGTAGGGATGAAATTGACAAACAAGCCCAATGACCTATATCAGCCTATATACTGTACACATGAACAAAGCAATTTGTCATGTCGTTTATCACTGACATATGCAACGTAGATATCAATGGAACGATGGGGGTAATGGTTTCACCCGATGACATCGTCAAAGTCAGCTGAGGGATTTCTCCGGATATGTAAATAGCGCTGATGAAATAAACATGATGGATATAGTGTCGTTGGGTGCTGTATAATTACTGGTGGAAGTCAGTTACGTGGGCTCAATCACATGTCAAATTGTCAGTCCTGTTCTAGTTTACTTGTTCATTGACAGATCAGTAGCAATGAAATTGACAAGCCGACAGTGGAGCACCTCTTTCAAAGATTGGAGGGTGCTTCACTTGTTCAGTTCTTGTTGTGTGAGACTTTGTAAATACAAATTGACCAAAAAAGAACCATTTTTCAAAATAGTTCTTTTTATACGAGGTGAGAATTTATAAGACGAGTTTTTGTTTTTTTTCATTGGGAGCTGTGGTGTACATACCGTATTCGACGTAATAACCCCCTTGCTCTAATAAGCCCCCACGGCGATATTTGCTAATACATTGGCAAGTGAACAATCCCAATTAGCCCCCCTTCCGTTTTATCAATGTACACAAGACTTATGTATTCGTGTATAATACGCACTCGTGTGTTATATGCACCCTTTATTATGGGCAATTAAATTCTGGAAAAATGCATCTGTCGCATATAAACAGTTCAGACTATCAGCATAAACCACGAAATTTATCTTTCAACTCTGTTTTTTCCACCAAAGTAATATACTAATAAAAGCCCCCTATTTCTAATTTTGAGAGCTCCCTGGGCGCTTATTACGTTGAATACGGTAGTTCTAATAAACAAAAAAGCTTCACAGGAATCACATTCATTGACAGTTAATGTGTACCGATTCCTTAACAGTTTGTTTAAAAATATATATTAAAAAACTAAACAAGTACCTGCCTAAGATGTTTTTTTTAATCTGGAAGAAAATCATATACTTCACTGTGGTTTAAACATGGTAAAGTATTTGGGGAAGTTTTCCCCAAAAGATATGTTTATGTTAGATCATAATGTATAAAATATCAGGAATATTTTCAAATATGAAATATAGAAATGCACATATGTAAAAATGTAAAAGAATTATAGTCTTAATCATACCTCCTTGCTATAATTACCAATTTTTTTCAAAATAACTTGTATTTTCTCCTGAGATTCTGACCATCCTTACACCAAGGACCTACATTTTAATGTAACATCGTCATAGATCATTCTCCTGGAACAAAAGGTATTTTTACCATTTCACAACTTTTTAAGTCACGTTTCTCGAGATAGAAACATATATCACTTGGGATGATCTTCTTGAGCTGATCTTTTTTAATAGGTTTAGTATTTTTTATTCATCTGAAAATCAATATTATATTGGCAATTGTGCCCACATTTTGTAGTCTTTAGATTGGAATACAGTATTGGAACCAGGTCAAGGCTACACGCGGACATCCATCTTAGTATCATGAAAACGTTTCTTATAAGCTTCATCTTCATCTATGTACATGAACATACTGGAAAAGAAGCCATTTGTATTTCAAATTTAAGCCAGCCTAGTTTAATTTCTTGCTTTAAAAATTTCTTTGCTCATAGTATCAAGAGGTAGGAAGGAAAAGGTTTGAGGTTGGTTTACAGTGTGTGAGTGAGTATGGTTTTATGACACTATTCCAGGACTATCATGGTCGGGAATACCAGAAATGGACTTCACACCTGTCTTGTACCATATGGGGAATTGAACCCAGGTCTTTGGCATGATTTACAAACAAAATCGCTCTGGAAAAAAACCAATAGATATAAGTTCAAAATGAGCATTTAAAAACCCAGACACAGTATTTTTTTGGAGGTCTAATCCAGAACACAAAGTAATAAACTGGTCTTGGCTGAATAGTTGAAAGAAACTTACCTGTTGTTCTGGATTCTGACACCTGAATGTTGAGAATGACCCAATTCCTGATGAACCACTTGTATTGTGAGCCTCTTTGTCCTCGTCAAACGTGAAACTGACTTCTTTTCGCCCATTCTTCTTTTTCATTTCAGCATCCTCATTTTCATTAGAGTCACGTGACACTGAGGAGAAACTGTCGCGTTTCTTCTCATCAAACATTTTCTCATCTTCTCCTTTCAGGACCACTACTTGTGTTCTTTGGCGATCTTTATCAATTCTCTTTATCATGCAAATTGTTGTCAGAATGGCCAATGTCAGAACCACTGTGACAGCAACTAAAATGATAACAATTAGCATGTTGTCATCTTTAGATGAGTTCAATGTTGCCGCGGTACCATTTGCCGTTACGATAATATTCAACTCAGCATAAGCAGTTTTAGGGGGATTACCATTATCTTGGACTGCGATGATCAGTTGATGGCTGCCAGCATCAATGGGCATCATTGGACTGGACACTTCAAGTTCCCCACTTATCCGATCTATATGAAAAATGTTTCTTGAATTGCCTTCAGTAATTTTGAAATATAGTCGACTGTATGTCATATCATCAGTATCATGGGCCTTTACATGGGCGATAATAGTATGAATTTGTGTGTTGTATGGAACAGACACACTGTTATTGGATTGGCTGGGATATGTTATCATTGGTTTATGATCATTTGCATCCAAGATGAAGACTGAGACATTTGCAACATCTCGGAAACTTGGAACTTGGCTATCCTGAACAATAACAGAAAAGTTAAACATGTGTTGCTTCTCACGATCAAATTCCTTCAAGGTTGTGATGATTCCATTCCAAGTGTCCACAGAAAAAAACTCAGACATCTTTGAATCCGGTGCCAATTTGTAGATGTACTCAGCATTTCGGTAATTGTCAGGATCATAGGCAGAAACATTACCTGCCTTGGTGCCAACAGGTTTGTGTTCTTGGACATAGCAGAAGAAAACAGGTTTGGTGAATCGTGGAGGTTCATCATTTTGATCAATGACATCGATAGAAACAGCCGAAGATGATGACTTGGGGCTTTGACCATGATCTGTTGCAACAACGTGGAAATGAAGTTCAGGGTAGCGTTCCCGGTCAATGGATTTGATAGCTTTGATAATACCTGTATCCGGAATAATGGAGAAGTAGTTTTTTCCAGCACTGTCTAGAGAGTAAGTCACACGGCCATTTTCCCCACCATCCCAATCATTGGCAGTTACCTGGAGAATCTCCTCCCCCACTGAGTTATTCTCAATGATTGACCCACTGTAGGAATGACCACTAAAGACAGGAGCATTATCATTTTCATCCATTACAGTAATAATGAAACTTGTTGAATTGGACTTTGGAGGGTCACCTTGGTCCTTGCATGTTATGGTGACCTTATGAGTGGCAGCTGTTTCATGGTCAAGTCTTTGCGCCAGTACAACCTTGTATATATTTTGTAGGTTTTCGTAAAACTTTTCTAATGCAAAGTGATGGTCATTGAGGCTACACATGACAAGACTGTTCATACCCACATCCGCATCTGACACTGACACATGTGCGATGAACTTGCCTGTCTCCATACCTTCAGAAATGTGACTAGCTTCTGGGGCTAGATTGATGCTGATGTGGGGATAGTTATCATTGACATCGAGAATGTTGATGATGACGGCCGCCAGAGAAGACAGCGACGGATTGCCATGATCTTTTGCTTCCACCATGAACTGAAACTGAGTCTGAGTTTCATAATCTATTGGTCCATTTGCAAAAACAATACCAGTCCTCTCGTCAATTGCAAATGATTGCCGCACTGTCTGCGATACTCGTTGACTGAAGTAGTATGATATCTTGCCATTGCTTCCTGCGTCTTGATCGACTGCTGACACGACAACCACTGTGGAATTTTTGGGCTTATTTTCCTGGATGCTTACATTGAATGTTGAGTCTAGGAAAGCAGGGCGGTTATCATTAACATCTGTGACTGTGATATTGATGATGGCAGAACCAGTTTTCTGTGGCATACCTCCATCCATTGCTTTGACCATCAGTTGGAAGAAGTCGCGTGTTTCTCTGTCTAGTCTATGTTTCACAATAATAGCAAGATCAGCGCTTCCATCCAGATTTTTCACAACATCAAGACCAAACATGCCATTTCTTGGAATAAGTTGGTACTCTTGGACTGAATTATTCTGACCCATGTCCTTGTCAATGGCACCACTGGCAAGGAGGCGATGGTTGACGGGTACTGATTCTGGGACTGAGAGATGAATGACTTTGTGTGGAAACATGGGAGTGTTGTCATTGATGTCATCCACGACCATCTTGACCTGCATTAGCTTGTACAGATCATAGGTGCCGCGTTTGGGATCACGAATATAAACAGCAATTTCCAGTTTCATTTCGCACAATATTTTAAATGAGCATACCTCTTCCCGATCAATGACTTCTGCAGTTCTTATTGTACTGCTCTTCTCATCCATATGAAATAGTTTCACATACGGATTTCCTTGAGTGAAAAAATTAAACTTCATTCTCTGAAATTCAGATTCATCTATTGTTAAATATAACGTACTGTCTCGTGCAAGATTCCCAACAAACCATCCAATGTCCTGTTCCTCTGGAATATGATAAGTGATCACAGAATCCTGCGAACGACACAGCACAATTAAACAAACTTGAAGGAACAAGACACACACACATTTGGAAACACACTTTGATGCCATCTTGACAGTCATTCCATGGATCTCAGTCTTGACAGATGGGATAACAATGAACAGTTTGTCTCATGGGGCAAAGATATCCTCCTCTTTATTCATAGGCAACCTGCAAAATAAAACCAATCGTAAGACAGATGCTTCAAGTGTTTCAAAAGTAATACACTCAAATGGTAATGACATAAAGTGGCAGCGACAAAGCGGCACAAAAGGGTCATTTTACAGATGAAGGAGCATCTAATTTTTTAATGTAAACTTTGCAACCTGCCTGTGAAAGTTCCATAGTGATTGACAGTCCTGAAGGCCTATTAACAAGTGTTTGATAACACCCAGGGAAATAACATGAATCTCAAACGGAATGATTAACATTGTCTCCCACTGCAAGTAGTACCCTCATCCATTAAGCAGACAAATAAAGGGAAAGCCCACTACACCATGATATGTTTTAACTGATTAAAACATAAAAAGGTGTGACAATATTTTCCGATATGGCGCTGACGACTTGTGAGAACCGAGGTTTTTCTGGAACTGCCCAACAGTAATCTGAGAGTTGGTGCTCTTGTCATTAAAAGTTAATCCAGTGAGTGTCATTCCAATTTCTAGCCGACTGTGAATCGCCTGGGTTGATTCAGACAAAGCGTAAAATCAATCGACATTCTTGATCAATCGATAAAAAATTGACAAAGCAGTCAATAGAATTCTACCAGCTCTCTGCACATTTCATCCCGTTCCATAAGAAAACTTTAATCTAATAGTACACAAAATATGAAAGAAATGAATTCTGGAACTTTTTACCAATTTTCCACAAAATTCATTTCCAAAAACCTCCTTGGAATATCACTAGGCAAAATTAGGAAGACCACACTAATCAAAGAATAAAATCTTAAACTATGAGATCATGGCAAGTTTATTTCATAAGATGTTTTCAGTTTTTCTTCCTTGGAAAATGATCGGTTTGCGTTTCTCACAATAAACTGAAAGCCATGGTTGTGTTACAGCAGGTGAATTGTAAAAAATACAAAGCTCAATAATATCCAATAAAATGAATTAAAACTTTCGATTGAAAATAAGATGATGATTGATGTCCTATTGATGTGCTTGACACACGAACTGTGTGATGAATGATGACCAACGAACAACTTCACACACAAAAGTTGCAGTCTAAATGCCTGATCTTCCGAAAGGACAGCTTAGTAAGTGCTTCCATTTAACAAAAACTAATTGCTGATTGGTTAGAAATGAGATACTGGCCATTTCTTGTACAATGGGAATGCTGACAAGAAGAAAATTACTTGCTATTTCTTAACCTGTGTGCGAATTTTCTAATCATGTTTTCGACTTGATGACTTTTGTGATTCTATTCAAGAGGATGCAATAAAACATGGATTGTAAAATAAAAATAGTATGAATAGTTTAGCTTTAATTAGATCATATTGCAATTATTTGAAACATTCATTTTCCATCTGAATAATAATTTGCTGTTATTTCAGTCATGAATTTGCATTCCAAAGATTCTCTTTCAAACTAAGCCTGCTTTCTTACAAAAATGTGTTTTCTTTGAATTGAATAACTCCATAGATGAAAATATTTTGATGAAAACTTAATGTTCAAATCCTCTTCACACATATCAACATAAAAAAATCACACCAAATCTCAGTATTTTTCTTCCTAAAAACTATCAAAATATAACTTTTGACGAGCAAAAAAGCGATTATCATCCAACAGCCTGTAATTGAAAATGAGTGTCTTGAAAATATTTATAGAGTTTGATACAATCAGGGTGCATGCAACAATCATTCTACAACATAATTCACTCAGTGTAACGGAAAAATGAACAACGCTGAAGGCATAGAGAATAAATGCATGCTACTTCCCTTACCGCAGGAGAGCATGCATGATAATTATCCCGGAAAATCATTAAAATTATTTCATCACAAAACCAATATCTGCATGCATATATAAACACTTCTGAAGAAATGGCCCCCGAGAAATGGGTTGCTATTCTCCCTCAACCGACAGAGCAGCAAATTACCAGTGCCTGAGAGTGATTAGTTAAAGTATCTTTTGCTTCTTGAGAAAGCTGTTAGGAAGCTATGATCCATTTCCTTTGAAGTTTTTCGCCATCCTGTCAATATATTAAGATTGGAGGAAATATGGAATGGAAGATGATCACCGTTGTCAGTGCTGCAGTCAGTTTGATAAGCCTGAATGTACTTAAATGACAAGAATCGTAAGATTTCACCACCAAATACCAAATTGCCTGAAGAGCTCTCGGAAGAAATCAATTGTGTGAAATCACCAAAAGGAAATTATTTGTTAAAACTTATTGCATGCATATTCTTTGTACTTACTATTTGCAAAGATGACATTGATATTTTCTGTTGCTCTGACAAAGGAAATGACTGTCAATGATGGCAACAGCTGGGAACTGATTTCAATTCATCTGAAAACAGTCTTAATACTGCCCCGTTAGTAAGAGAGCCATGACTTTTATTGCAAGATAAACAACTACAGTCCCAAACCTCACTTCACTAATTACCACTCAAACAGGTCATCTAACGAGCAAAATTTAATTTGTCTGGCTGTCAAATAACATCACAAAGCTTAGCTGTGTATTGAATAAACAACCACACCTCATCTATTTCTTAAAGTCGAATGAATAAAGAGAGTTTGGTTGTGTTTTGATAACGGCTGTAAACACAGATTCTTGATTAAAGGGGGTTGATGAAATGTACGACCTTTCTGAAATGTACATGTGTGTGTTTCAATCAACAGCATGGGCAGATTAACCACTATCATTGAAGCTTTGTTTATTCTTCTCTTCCACAGTAACCAAATCCTCAAAGGGACATTAAATCCTTTATTATGCTATAAAGAATCCAAATTGTCATTGTTTTGATACTGCGTTACATCCATACAGCTCGTACTACTCATGTCTATATGACGTAATGACTCTGTTAATTGAATTCCAGCATGTGTCTAACTTGAATGATCTAATCAACATGAAAACCTCATATCCAATTATTAATCCAGAGTCTATGAATTATTGATCAGTTTTTCTACTGGGAGACAAGTACACCATACAACCCTGGGTTAGCACCACTTGACTGAGAAAGAACAACTGTACTTCGACAATAATTATAGTGCTTTTATATGACATATGTGTCATATAACATTGAGCGGATAACGTCATTGGTTAAAAAACATAATGGAGTGAGTGAGTGAGTTGGGTTTAACGCCGCTTTTAACAGTATTCCAGTCATATCACGGCGTGTCAGCTTAATGTTGGAGGAAAGCCCCAAGTGATGCAGGTCTCAGACGTTTACCACTTCGGTGAAACCCACGAGCATGGGTATGGTGCTGACAAATCTAGAAACATAATCGGGGTGAACCGGGATTCGAACCCACAATCATAGGTTTCTGGCGTGCCCAAGGGATGCAACTCTGCACAGCAAATTGCGGCGCCTTAGACGATTAGGCCACCAGTGCCCCCCAAATTAGTGTGAAGATCTGTAGCGAGCCATTAAGAATTATGTTATTATGAAGAATGACAATGGTTTAATGCCACTGTAAGCTCATGCGTGAACAGTTAACCAACTCATCACCAACTTAAAGATTTTTCCTCAAGAGACAACAAAGAGCCATCAAGACATTATTATATAAAAAAAAAATATTTCTTCGTCTGAAACAAAAACATTCTTCAGAAACTACACTGCGCAATCGACATTCTTCCTATAAACGGTTCTGTAGAATATTTTCCCTTAAAAAAAAACAACCTTTAAACATGTACAAGTTTAGTTAAAACAATTCAATTACTTTCCTTGGAAATGTCTCCACACAAGATCCTATTTTCAAGCAGTTTCATCAGTGTCTGGGTGTTTTAGTAGCTCATCTTTAGTGTTTCCGAGGGTGCTGTCAGACATTTATATCTTTGAACACAGACTATGTCAAGGGCCAGTGGATCTAAGGGAATTCTTTTCCAACGCAAGTAACTCGTATAACAAAAGTCTCCTTTTTTATCTATTCCCACCCAGTTGCTCTTGTCAAATAAAAAACATGAAAAACGAACTTGTAAATAACATGTTATTCAGTAGGGAGAAACTTCATCAAAACAAGGTATGTACATTTGTGTTGTTTTTTCACTCTTGGAGGATTTTCGATGGATTTGCTATATAGTTTATTCATATATTCATCTCTGTTGAAGTTGCAATATCTGACACTGATGAGAAATTGTATCTCAATCAGATAACATAAATACTTAACAATCCAATAATAAATATTAATAAAATAGTTTATTATTTGTTTAAAATAAATAATTTATTATTTGTTTAAAATAAATAATTTATTATTTGTTTAAAATAAATAATTTATTATCTGTTTAAGATAAAATTATTTATTATTTGTTGAAAGTTTATAAAAACATTAAAGCTAATGAACTGGTCATTTGCTGAATAAGCAAGGAATATAGTGAGGAAAAGAAAATGTTGTCTTTGCATGATGCTGCTTACCAAATAATTCGTTAACTTAGATGTGACTAATAGTTCAACATTAACTACCTGTCCATTAGGCACCTAAATGTAAACAAAAGCACCAAACCATTTCCATGATCTTAAGATGTCTCTTCTGAAAGCAGAGTCCATTGTACGATTATTTCACAAGCATGTGTTTATGAATCGCTATCAAATAGCGATAATACCAGGTATTCATACCCAGGTGTATGACATGTCCTGCCACACCGTTGGCACTATTTCACAAGCATGTGTTTATGAATCGCTATCAAATAGTGATAATACCAGGTATTCATACCCAGGTGTATGACATATCCTGCCACACCGTTGGCATGTATCACAAAACACTATATGGAGTACAACTCATAATGCTTATGTCGTTGCAGGAACAACCCTAAGGAGATCTGCTCTTGATCTGCAGAAAACATGTGAAATGTCAACATTGTACATACCTGAGGACAAGTAAGTCTATTCCAAACTGTTTCCTGTTTTGAAATGATTCCATCCCAAATGCAACTGAAGTTGTGTCAAACCAACCAGAGCGAAACGTTCACAACATCTTAACGTCAAGCCATTGATCCTTCATAATTGATTAAATAGA